GTCATTAGTGTCAAATACGTCGGCATTGTGAAAACTGAAACTCCTGGACACCAACATCAAAGGGACCGACGCTAAGTGGGACTACTGTTTATAAGTATACTGTGATATTGTGCTTATTTGTTATGAACTCCCTGCGTATTTAAACTTTGCAAGAAAATTTTGCAAATTTAGTCATGAACGTTCCATAACTTGACCTTTATTTAGCCAAGGACACATTGTTATCTTGCAGTAAATGAGAATACGCTGAAAGGTCGGTGCTAAAAAGCAGAATGAGATCTCATAAAATTATTCAACTTGACCAAGCTGTTCATCACTTCTTTCAGTGTAGCACTAAGTTTACCACAAAGGGCTACCTGGTGAATTATGCACTGGGTTTTTATCCCTGATTCTCTTCACTACACCTCTTTTTTGCCAATCATTGCTGGGGTTGCAAGAAAATATTTCCGTAGAAATGGTATGTAATTCAACCTATGGATGTTTCGTGTGCGTAATAAAGATTTGAAATTATTACTAATTCGCACAAATACACACGCACACACAGGCTAGATAGGAAACTGATCAAACCATCCTGCTTGGGTGATGTTGATATTTTTTTGACGCAATTTGAAGGACTCTTAAATTACTTAGCGAACAAGTATGATAAACTAATTATAGATGGCGACTTCAATATACATTTCGAAAAAAAATCTAAAATATTGGATGAATTCACTTGCCTACTTTCATCTTTCAATTTAGATATAACCATATCTGACTTTAATAGAGCGACTGGTTGTATCGATAATATCCTGACAAATTTGAAATCACATTTATATGTTAGTAGCATTATTGAACCTAATATCTCGGATCATTACGGACAAATCATTTCTATTATTGGCGATATTGAAATCAATCCTGAACCAACAGACGAAAGAAGAAAAATTACAAAGAAAGGAATTAATAATAGTATTCAACAGAGAAACTCTCTGTTGAATACTAACTTTACCCTCTTGTGGGATAATGAAAAATCTGATCCTAATTTGGTGTCATCTGAATTTGTGAAAACATTGCAAACATTGATACACAAGAACTTTCCATTAAAAAAGTTCGGGCGTAATGATCGAATGACTCTCAATTTCTTTAACGATAATTTACGGGATATAAGAAAAAATCTAGCTTATTTAAAAACCATCTCACCAACACAACAAATGATGAACATGACAAAACTGCATTCAAACTCTACAGAAAACATTATCGCAGAGCAATAACTGAGAGCAAAATAATTTCCTTTAATAATTTTTTAATGGGATCGACCAACAAACAGAGATACTCTTGGAGAATTATAAACCAAGAAAAGAACTCGAATATCCAAAAAAAGAATGTCCCATTTTTCGTGAAGATTTTGCTCTTCATTTCCCTACAGTAGCGGATCTTCTGTGACAGGATTCATTTTTGCTTCTTGAGGTCTGTACCATCCACAGAGGCGACCTTCTTTTTAGAACTCGTTTCCGTATTTGAAGTAATTGAGGCTATTCGTTCAGTTAAAAATTCATCGAGTGTCGATATCTATGATTTGAATTCTCGTGTTTTGAAAGAAATTGCTGAGTTTATTGTGGTTCCACTCACATCCCTCATAAATTTGTGTTTCAGTTGTGACGTAATATTTTTTTCTTATTACTTATTTATTCAATCATTAGTTCATATGTGGGGTATTTTAGATATAAACAGGATAGGGTTATTTGCTCACAGCTAGCTTTTAGACAGCGAGAGGGGGGTGAGTTATACAAATGATTTACGTTCCAACGGCGCCAATAGATTTACTATTAACCCTATATAATGTAATAGCAAGCAAATCCAAATCTATAAATTATCCACGATACAATAATGCCCCGATAAAACTCAAAATTTGGCAAATGGATATATTGATATATTTTCACACAGGTGCACGACAGAGAAAACTGGACAGGGTGTTTGGGAAAAAGAAAACTACCCTTTCAATCTCCTGCACAACGAGGGGGAAAACTTATTTTCTAGTTAGAAATTTCTGAAGAGAAATTTGACCGGAAGACATGATATTGGTAATGTGAAATGTGGAGGTATTAGTATAAAAAATAATATATATTTGATTTTCACTCGAAAGGAAAGTCCTTAATGCCGCTATGCGGTACTTAGCCTCGATTCTAAAGGGCCAGCTGTAATACGGCACTATTATTCTGCTCCATCAAGGAAGAGGATGAAATCCCATATGTCATTTCCTCATTTCCTTGTCCCCAAATGACTGTTCGTATAATAATATCGGGTTTTTCTGGGTGGTACACAAAGTTATTGAAAAAAAATGCCTGAAATTAAATTATTGTCAGATTTCTCGTATTATGTGGGATATATTGTTGTCCTGTGATGACACAAGGAATAATACTTGAAAACTCACCTCCGATTATCGAACCCTAATAATTCGAAAACGTTTTCATATACAGTTGGAAAAAAACTGATATAAATATCCTCCGAAGAGATAAAAAAACGGAATTCTCAACCTTCCAAATCAGCACTATTACGAATCCGTTTCTGTGAACATGTGAATTACAACCGCTTATAGCGTTTACGAAAATCCCTAAGTTAAATTCACAGTTCGAGTATCATTGTCAATTTCCAACTGAAAAATGATTAAAATACCTTGGTCAATGACCAACAAGGTTTCTAATTTTTCCGTTAGTGGCAGCAGCTATCGGGAGGTTGTTTATGATCTCGATATGAGTTATTAGTAGATGGGCAAGCGACAATAAATAGGTACATTTTACGGATAACGTAACACAGTACTGGAGTATTTCCGGAATCATTAAAAATCGCTAGGGTAATTGTCATTTTAAAAAAAAAGGAGACCCCTGGATCCAAGGCAATTATCGACCAATATCATTAATTCCGATTATTGGGAAAGTTTTTGAAATCTTGATTAAAAATCGCTTGATAGTTTTCTTTGAAAAATACTCCCTTATACACAAATTCCAGTTCGGGTTCAGAAAAAATCGGAGCACACTTGATGCAGTTTACACTGTGGTAAAAAATGTAGTTCAGAGTTTTGAAGAAGGTACTTATACTTCAATCACCTTAGTTGATCTCAGCAAGGCCTTTGACTGCGTTTCCCATGATCTACTGATAAAAAAGCTGGAGCACTATGGTATAAGAGGGCTACCACTGAAACTATTGAAATCTTACCTAACGGACAGATATATATGCGTCTCAGATGGCACGAGATGTTCCCAAGTGGAAAAAATTAATCATGGCGTTCCGCAAGGGTCGGTTTTAGGGCCCCTTCTTTTTATCATCTATATAAATGATCTTTTCTATCAATTTTTGCCTAATAAAATAGTTATGTATACTGATGACGCTACCATACTTAACACCGACCGTGTTCTACACAATCTCACAAATATAGAGGATGAGGTATTAGACTCAGCTGAACACTGGTATTCTGATAACATGCTGACTCTGATTATAGATAAAATGCAGAAATTAAACTTCTTCAGCAATTATACGTCGAGTAAAGGTGATACCGTTAACCTTCTGGACATAACACTGGATGACAATCTAGCCTGGGGTCCACATATTGACATTCTGTATAAGAAAATCTCCTCATATGTCTCTGTTCTCCGCAAACTAAAAACATTTACAAATCGAGAAACTCTACTCAGTACTTTTCACGCCCTCATTCAATCACATCTGAATTACGGTGTCATGTTGTGGGGAAATTCAACGCACGCCAGTAAAGTGTTTATTATACAGGAAAGAGCGCTGAGAGTTATGGATAATGCTGAATACAGAGATCATTGCCGTTCGCTATTTGTCAGGTATGGTATCATGACAGTGCCTTCATTATATATTTATCATACTCTTCTTCACATTCATAAACATAAAGACATATTCACAACCAGTTCGGATTTCCACTACTTACAATAGAAGAACAAAAGACATTTTACTTGAGTCTCGATATCGTCTAGATAAATCGGCTAGGAATTCTCCCAATATGAAACTTTATAATAAATTGACTGAGAAGACAAGAAATCTTGACAGGATTTATCCTGTCAAATCTGCGATAAAAAAATCTCTTTGACAATACGGTTTTTACTCTGTTAATGAATATTTGATTAATGATTACTCTATATAGCCAGCTAGTCTAGACATTAAGGTCAAACCCTCTCATTTATTTAAATAGCTGAATTTATGCCGGAAGTATACTTGTTTTTCTAATCTGAATGTTAGATTAGTATTTATATTTTTACATCTTTTATTGTAACCTAGAACTAAGGAACTGACTTGCTATAAATGTATCTTTGTACATAATGTAGTAAAATAAACATCTATCTATCTATCTATCTATTAGTTGTACGTACTTGTAAAACAAGTTAACTATGTAACCTAAAATAAAATAAGTACTTAGTTAAATTCAATAATTGAATTTCAATAATTGAAGGTAAAGTATATCTTAATCTACGTATTGATTTATACTCAGTATACAACACATTGTTCGGCGTTCCGAGGATCGACCTTTCGTGGTTCGCAAACGGAGCGTGGTTCGCCTGTTGCCGACCGTTGTATAAGACGAGCATCTCATTCCGAAACTTCGAAGTACATATAGAAATTTCTGTGTATGATCTGCAATTGTCTTCAAAGAGTTTTTATTGTATTTTCTTTTCTTTCATCAGAAGTTTCCCATATGAATGAGTGGTAGAAAACCATCAAGCGTTTTTCCCCAGGAGTTATGAGTTATAAATTCACAAATCAATACAAAACTTACGTTGAAATCTTCAATGAAAAAAAACAACTGCTCTCACCGACCGATCTACCTCACTTCGTAATTCGCGGATCGACCTGATCAATGACAGCTCGTGGTTATGACGTAACTGGCACAGTCAGGGAGAAGAAGGAAAAAACTAATGATCGCCAATATGAATGGTATAAAGTAGCGTGTCACAGCTGACGACGACGTCTGGCGTCACGGCGCTCATCCGTCAGTTTGTTCTGTTCCCGGTCGACCGGTAAGACGAAAACGTGAAATTTTATTTCACTCTTCGCGACTGTAGTTATTTTTTTAATTTCGTTTTCGAACAGGTGAGTGAGGAAAGAATTAGATTTTTAGTGAATATTTACACGTTTCGGAATATAATGATTATAATTCGATGATGATCATGAAAGTGCAAATCATATTTCAATACAAAAAGAAATATTTTTAGGAAAGATCAATTTTTTTGGAGAAAAAGGTTTCTGGTTTTCTACTTCACCACCAATAGAAAGGAAGTTTATATCCGAAAGAATTTTCTCTGTAAATCTTGTAATTATTTACTTTCTTTCTTTCTTTGGAAGTTTACCACAGTTTTTATTTATTGATGCAAATACTTACAAATCGAGGAGGGTGAATTTACTGAATTAAACATATAAAAACAGATTTCACAAAAAAAAATACTTTTCAGAATATCCTTGGTTTCTCTTTGAAGTTCAAATGAATGATGAATAATACATATTTCAGAAGAAGTGAACTATGTTTTTTGAATGATCTGATGAGTGATTATTTTTAGAAGAAATCAGTTTTTTGGGAAAAAAACTTTCTGCCTTCTATTTACCCATAATTGAACAAAAACATCATTGAGGATAAAAGTAACATTTTATATCAATATTTTTTTGGAAAAAAGATTTTGGATTTCTACTTCTTCATCTTTATACCAAAAAATTTGGGAATCTTCCGAAGAAACAATTTTATACAAAGATGTGTAGATCATGCAAAAGAGTAACTTTCAGACACAAACTGGAAGATACGCCCTCTCGAAACAGGATAGGTAAGGTTAGGTCCAAAGTGAGTGCGTCTATTCGACCCTTCCACCGCAACCCGCAAGGTTTTATTATGGATTACACCTATTCATACTCGGCCAAATGAACCCAGCTTCTTAACGAAGCCGATTAGTCTGCATGGTGAGTGGTCTTTCAGGTTAGATGGTAAGAGTACGGCTCTACCGAACTTTAAAAACCTGATTCGGTCCCCAGTGGAGCAGGCACAACGTAAATGCTCTATTTCATCGTTAATGAGGTAGTCGGATGGTCAAGGTGCAAGATTCCCACCATGATACCCGCGACAATCTTTCCATATGAGGGTTTTTGCAGCTACTCCTGACGATACCTTAAATTAACCCATGTAGGGCTTTTCCGCCTCTGGTTTTGTTGAATCATCACTCGACCGCAAACGTTTGCTAACCTGCTCATGGGGGGTTTGTTCCTCCACCTGAAACAGATTCTGCGTAAGCTGCTCAAGAATTTGGTGCAAGGCGGTTTCATAAGGTACCCCTCTCTTGAGGAGGACTCAGTCATTTCATGGTTGCACCACCAAACCTTTTTTCAGGTTCAGTAATTGGATCAGGAGTTGGAGAGTTGAGAAGCTCTTGCTCCTGATCTAAATTTACAGGGAGGTCAGTTGGAGTCATAAGCTCGACATCCATCTCCTCTGTAGAATCAGCGGCAGAAAGAACTTTTGAGTTTACTCTGTCCCTAAAAGTCCCACGAGTAGCTAGGGAAAGAAGGTCAATCACGGCAGAGCCCCGCATCACCGTGACAAGGCGATGCTAAAATGAGAGGACGCTTGGTATCTCGAGGATTCCGTAGAGACAGCTGATAGGCTCAGTGTCATTCATCCTCTCGGCACGGATACATACACCTTAGGATTAAGCCATCGTTGTTATGCCATTCAGTTAGGGAATAACAAAACCACAAGTGATTCTGTCACTCCCGAACAAGGACAGCCAACCCGCCCTCGAAACAGGTACTTTCATGTAAACATTGAATTGAACGACAGAAAACTACTTTCGAAACAAATACTTTTATACAAACAGGTTTCCTACACATTTTAGTAAATGAAAGAGGTGAAATCTCACTCACATGGAACACTGTCATCCACACTGTCATCTGATGTTTCGGCTCTTCAGCACCAAATCTGAATAACATCATAACATTTTTTATAGAGATAATAGAAAGCCAAAATCTTTTTTTCTCTAAAAATTGACCTCTCCTGACAATATACCTCTTTTAATTTATATCAACATTCTTTCGTATATCACTTTTATATTCATAACTGAATGGAAAAAAGCGATTTTCGCAATGAACATTTTTCCTGAACTACGAAAAATCACTCACTAGCAGCGCTAGTAGTTCGGTAGGGACAAACACTGCCTAATCCTCATATAAACATATCTGTTTAAAAATATGTTTTAAATCGGTTTAAAATCTGTTCTTCCGTTAACCAGCTGTCGCACCCCTATGAACGACAACCCTCAGAAGTCGAAACTTGTACGAGCTAAGGATTAACGAGGTCTTACCTTTTAACGTGTGATTCCTAACATGGTAAAGTACAATTAAAAAAGAATGTTTTTAACAGAAGAAGATTGTCCTACATAACAATGTAGTAACATTAAAACGTTAGCTTTCATGTCGTAATTTGAAAGTAACTGGAAAAAAAAAATTAATAGATAGGTTAGTATACAGACTCTAGTAAAAGAGTTGTGGTAGATTCAAACTGTAATAAAAGGAATTTAAAATAATTATGAATTTCAGATTTATTTCCGAGTGAAATATGAATCAAATATAGATGGTAATGAAATAAATTTATTCAAATATAATAAATGAATATAATTTAATAAACGATTGACGTTATATCTCATTCTAATCAATGGTAATTAACTATGAAAAATTTACTATTTATTTCATGTTTAGAGCATACATATACATTTTTAATTATTTTTTGTACTGTTGAATCCACTTTCCTCGAAGGATGTATCCATTTATTACATCTAACCTCATTATATGCGGTTTTATAAATGGTATAAAAAACACGTTTTCTTCCGGATATCGATTATCCGACGTACTATTCGCAAAACAGCAATGCTTTGTTGGCATTATACTAGCACAAAATAATTTTTTATATCAGATTTATATTTTTAAATAATAAATTTATATTACGTAAATAATACTGTTTTACATATGAATATTTTGTTTATCCCTACCTCTCGTGACACGTTCGCTGTACTATTCTCAGAAAAAAGGCTCATTAAATGTTAATTTTTTTCTTCCAGTTTGTACATGAAATAACATTTTGTGTACAATCTACATCTGTTTATATCTCTTCATAAATATTTTTTTATTGTTGTCATTATATTTCTTTCTTTTTTGGAAGTTTCCCTTAGTTTCATGCTTATTATGGATATGAACATCTTCCATGTGCACCGTTGTTTTCCAAACTGATGGTTTTCATTTTGTGGTTGGTGGATGACTTTAAACCCCTTCAAAACTGGAAAAGTTTCATTCGCCAATGGAAAGAAGCTGTTGAGGTTATTTCATTTACAGCAGAAGTAAAACATCTGGATGATAAAATCATCTGAAAAACTTACTTGGAAAATGCTTTAAACATAGCCAGACTATTTTTAAGAAATCATGTTTGTGGAATATTTTGGGATATAAGTCTTAAAGAAATCCATGTATATTTTTATGTTTGTTAGACTAACGGTCGAGCCATTACTGAAAACTTTACAGTAATGTTTCGAGCGGAGCTTACTAGTATACAGAGACAGGCCTGTCCGGCTTCTTCCGATGTCTTTTGCAACACAGCCAGTAACATGAAAATGCTGGACCTATCTGATCTTCATATCTCTCTGGAAAGAGAGGCTAGACAGAAAACGTACAGAATTGTGCATATTGCTAATCACTCAAAACAGTCACATGTAAAGAATAGCAGAACACCAGTTGACACTGAAAGTCGAAGCATTTTGAAAAAGACATTCGACTTAATGCTTCCAGCTGCTGATTGCTTTTTGGTCAGCCGCTTCATTATGGTTTCATCTGACCAGAATCTGTCTCTGGCATAGCTTCAGATTTCGTCATGCAAACATCAAATGATTGGATTACAAGAAGAATTTCCTGATAAAATATCCCAGGATTGTAGAGATTCAGTCTTCCGCGGCCATCTTTCGGAAGTGATTGTTATTTCAGGTCTTTACGACGTCGTCCATCGGATTTTTTCCTGATGTTTTGTCGGCACTGATTAGTGTGTACTTATTAGGTTCGCTCCAAAAATTGGAGATACATTGACACGCAGAATATATTTATGAGAGGCTGGAGAGAAAGGGTGGAGTTGCTCGATGTGCTCAGATGGTTTGGGCATCTCGAGGTACCGATTAAGCAAGGCGCACACTTCGACAGGACGGCACAGGACGGCACAGGACGGGAACATGACGGGACATGGCCTACCTTTGCCTCCTTCGCACACTAGGGCAGGAAGATATACCGCGTCCAGTTCCTCCACCTTTTTCTTTCCTTTCTGTTCGGTTCCTCTTCTCATTTCCCGTTCCGTATTCATTAGCTCGATACTAGTGTTATTTACGATGACTTTCCTGTCAGATTCTGACACCTCATCCAGTGAGGAGGACATTATAATCGCAACTTCCACAAGGTATTGTTGGATAACACAAATCTATTTTTCCCCGGAATTCTCCATATTTTTACAGTGAAAATCCAGACGCTGGAGGAAATACGTGTGGATATCTCGTGGTGACTTTGTAGAGTACCAAAACTCAAGGTCAATCATGAGTCATAAGAAGGAAAGAAGCAAGAGGGGGGAGGACGGCCTGGGACAGGCACAGGAAGTTTTGGCTCTTCTGCCTGGCATATCCTGTTCCCATCCTGACATGAGCCTGTCCGTTGCCCGCCTATGTACGCATCCCCCATATGAAACTATAGGAAGAGTAATTAAACTTCACATCATGTTCCCGACCCGGCATGTTTCCATCATATGTCGTCCTGTCGCAGTGAGTGCCTTGCATTATTCGTTAAGGGTAAAGTTTTATCGTTCTCTCTTTCCGATTCTTAGGGACTAACGTTGGATGTGCTTGAAGCGTATCCTGTGCTCTCTTGCGCTTAGTACATGCTCTATCACAGAAAATGTTTTCATGAGTCCCAGACTGCACTTCCTTTCAAGTTAAGCAATTTTTGTGCTAATCGAATGCTTGGTCGTGCCATTATATACTCTTCATCGGGAGCACGGAATGCGGTAAACCCCTGAATCCGATCTGGAGTCTCTCCTATTTTTTGCCAACATCAGACGGCAGAGGATAGAAGAGACTCCTGAATATTGTCCTGGTATTGTGTTTTCTAAGGAAGTCGGTAACTTTCGGAATGGAGGGTAGAAAGACCTCTGTCATTGTCTTCTGATTTTGCTTTCGTTCGAGATTGATTTTCTCGATGTCCTCTTTGGAGTATCCAACAGCAAAAAAATCTTTCTCAAGGTGTTTTTGCTTTGTTATCACATGTTGTGGGGTGCAGATCCTTTCTGTTCATTTCATCAGTGCTGTAATTATTCCGAGGTTCTGACACTGACTGAGTGGTGGTTGGAGCGAGGTATCTGTTTTAAATAGTCTTCCTTTTATGTCAGCAGGACATCCGGAAATCCTAATGGTCTGTCTACCACCAACCCCGTCGTGAATTGTTTACTTGGGTGATGACTCTCGAAATGTATTAGGAAATCATTTAGACTTCTCCTGACATATTTCCAGCTAACAAATGTTTCGTCTACATACCGTAACCACACAAGTTTGACGATTCTATTATTTTCCTCACAATATAGATGTTAGTGACGATGAAACTTAGAATAACCTCCATGGCTACCTTATCCAGATTTTTCGTAAAAATTGTCTTTCTAACGGCAAACAGGTTCTAAGGCAAACAGAAAACAGTTTGGTTATGTCTTGTGTTAATAGATTCCTAATAAGCTAGGGGCTCCGTCAGAAGTAACTTGCTGCATAGTGAGTCAACGTTGAAACTAACCAGAATATATCCCATCTATGACCTGATTCTTTCAGGACTGGCCAAGTCCAAAACATTTCAATATCTTCGGAGAATGGCGCTGAACAATTACTAGCTTACAGCAGGGTTGATCCGTTTGTCAGACCTACTTATGGGTCAATGTCAATTGAATCATCTTATTAGACTTCAGTAGTGTATGTCATGTAGTGTAGTAGTGTATGTATGTAGTAATGTCATGATAAAAAATGAAACAGCAGATCACATATTTTCAGCCTACCACACCGAATGGAGTAATTCGCTTCATTGAAAACCTGGTCAAGTTTAAATCAGAGTAAGCCACAAAAAACTTTTGCGGATAAAATACACACACTCACTTTGACAAACAACGAAAACTAACATAAATATATTTACTCGCACAGGTGATGAAGAGAAGTATCGTCCATCTGTCTGTAAAACCATTTATTTCAAAAAAGGTTTTGTGCATTTTCAACAGATTCATGACGTTCTTGAAAGGTATCTTCTTCTTTTAATGATTGGTTACAATGAGTAAATTAGGCTTCATTGCTGTGAGATTAACAAACAAAGGATCTTTCTACTGAATTTTACTCGTCCTAATCACGTAACTGATGAGATAGGTGGTTCTTAAAATTCCACAAAAACGCAGCTTATGTGGAATAAACGGAATAAAGAACGTTTTTATAAATGGATTTGATTTGCAGCAATTCAAATCCAATGTGAATCGTCACTTTTGCACAGGCACCACTTTTACAGCACCTTAAGGATTTTCCTGTGGTGCTTGTGTTTTCTCAAAAAAAAAACAGAAAAGTCTTACTCTAATGTAACAATTGACATGCCAATAAATTCTTCGATTCAACATCATTTCAATTTTATTGTACCATTTCTCTATCATCTTTATCAGTTATTTATGCGTCTTCCACGACTCTCATGATTGTACTTGTGATGCACTGTTTGGAACTTTTGGTGTAGTAATGAATATTACTGGAGTTTCATCCCAACACCAAACCATTATTTTAACACCTTGACACGTGTTTCGATCACCAAGTGATCATCTTCAAGAGGAAGATTAAAGAGTCTAATCATCCTCTTCAAGATGATCACTTAGTGATCGAAACACGTGTCGAGGTGTCAAAATAACGGTTTGGTGTTGGGATAAAACTCCAGTTATATTCACTCTCATGATTGTTTGACATTTTCAGTTCATAGAAGAATGATGGAAAAAAGTTCACCATAGTCGACTAATAGTCCAATATCCAGGGATGTTCGAAGAATGTTTTGGTAACGGTCCGTTCGTATTCAGACTGAACGAAAATGGATGTGGACCTCAACTACTCACTCAGGTTAGTAACAGTAACTACTGAAGATGTGTGTACGAAACAAATAATTACAACTCATGAATGGATATAATTAACATTCTGTATAACAAAAAAATTTGAACGATTCTTTATCAATTTTGAATTCAGATGGAATACCTATATTCGCATAGAAACGTGAATAACTGAGATTATCATAATGTTATTGATAGTCTTCTTCAAACTGTAATATTTATCTCCTTTAATATTTATTCAATTCAATCGAAATAACCGCCATTTGAATCAGTGCACTTTTGCCAACGTAATAAAAGTAGATCAATTCTGTCAGCATAAACATTGTGTGCTTGGGATTCGATAAAGTCGACTAAGGCCACTTCTGCCTGCTCCTGATTGGGATAAGTTGCATCCGTGAGGAATTTATCGAATTTATTGAAAAGATGGTGGTCGGTTGCTGAGAGATCTGGGGGAAAATAGTGGGTGAGGCTCTATTCGTTTAGTTTTCGGATGATGATTTGTGAAACGTGCGGACGGGCGTTGTAGTGGAATAGGATCAGACCTCTTGTGTTGACCAGTGCCGGCTACTGCTGAGGCAATTTTTGTTACATTTTGTAGATTTCCATACAATATGACTGCTGTGATGGTTTGGCCCGGTTGTAGAAAGCTGAATCACACCAGCTGCTGACAACTATACAATAACCGTGATCTTTTTTGGTGTGTTAACGCCTTTGGGAAGTGTTTGGGTGGCTTATCGGTGTCCAAGTACTGCCCTGAAGGTCTCCTGTTGTAGAGGATCCACTTTTCATCACACGTGACGTCCCGAACAAGAAAGGGATCGTTTTGGTTAAGCAAAATCAAAGAAGAACAGATCTTGAAACGTTATAATCTCTTTCGATCGTTCAAATGGAAGACACCCACTTCTCGAACTCATTGACCCTTCTAAAACGTTTCAAACCATCAAAAACCGTATGGAAGCTGTCGTCCAGTTCTTCTGCCATCCCACGCATCGTTTGCAATGGGTCAGTCTCGTCCTAGGTTACTGTAATCGACCATTTCGGGACCATTTTCGATGCTAAACTCTCCGTAACGAAATTTTGTTTGAACAACATCAAAATTCTCTATCGATCAGTATATACCACGACACAATAAAATGAATATTCATTTGGATATGGAGCTATGGAGACATACGACATTGGAACGGATAAATACAATAATGAATAGATATAATATTCTTTCAAATGGCACACCATCATAACCCTTCCATACCATGAGTCTGAATGCCTATGCAAAAACTAAATTGGCTTTTTCAATTTGAAGTGAGTTCAAATAATATATAATTATATAAAGAGTTGGAATGTGAAATATTTTTGCAAATGACCACTTCATGATCATATTGCACCTATCAATGTTTTAAGGTGCAATACGAATTGGTATGCAACTAGTAGAACAGTTGTGGATTGCTACAGGGTTATGCAGTTTCGTTGAAAACTAGATGAAGAACAGATGCCAGCTAGCAATTTCGGGTAAAATGTTAACAAAAAAGCTGAAATATTTGTAGAGGGCCACAGTTTTTCATTCCTGGCCCTTGCTCACTACACATAACAATTTCATAGATATATTACCTTTTTTACGGTATTTACTTTTTCGATGAGCATGGATCAGCTTATAAGAAATTGAATGCAGATCTTTGTCGTCGTCTCGAGAACATCTCGATAAGTTTTTGTTTTGCAAATTTTTAGTTCCATCCAAATCGTAGGTCCACTTATTTGGTACTAAGGATACCCACAATCCCAGTCTTGATATTTCATCCAATTTTCCTTCTCTTGTCGAATGGTATTAACCCTCCGTTAGTGTTCCCAAATATATTCCGGTTAGTGTATGGCATACCCCAAACAAAAGTCATTTTAGAATTACTGAGGTAACAAAATTTGGTCATTTTGTTAACCATATATGTTTTTCTGCATATTTATCAGTGAAATGAAGCAAAAACAGCAGTTGAATATTTCTCTTGGAAATTCAAAAATCACCAATTGAAAAATATATGTTTATTATATCCTCGAAAAACACAGTTCAATTATATTTATCATAAAATATTGTGTCATGATATGGCAAATACAACTACAAGATATATTCTAAAAAAGTGTTCCACAAACAAAATGTTGCAAAACTGGGAGTGATACCTTCCCAAATAAAAAAGTTGCGGGCTCTCGAAATTCGCACAATGTCATCATTGCGTGCTCAATACAAATTGGACTATGACATCGCATACATCCATAGAACGTCTTCCTGTCTCAGCTTCTGAGACGAACAGAATATCTTTTGCTTGAGAGTCGTTGCTTCGGTCCAGGTTCATGACGTTCCACCTCTTGGTTCTACCGTAGTCGTCGGCGTAGACAGGGGTTTTGTCTTTGGTGAATCCGAAATTCGCATATCAGTTGCAGACCGAGTTCTTTCAAAAAATGTAGCATTTTCAAATTGTATTCCTGCGTATTTGCTTTGAATACAACTTGAGCATTTACTCCAGCGGAATTCATGAACGTTCCTCGTTCCTCGACACACTGTAGCTAGCAGATAACTCATCTAACTCATCAATTATAGCATCGTCATGATGTAATGTAGAGAAAAGGCACACATGACACAGCTGTGATATTTTCTTTGAATGCAAACACAGAACTGCGAGGCTTTCTGTTCCTCATATTCAGAAAAACTGATGGTATTTGTCTCTTGTTTTTTCTGACAGTTCCAACCGATGTTAGCTTATGCCTCTCGAGCAGATTCATCATAATCAGAAACTATTTTCCGATTCGTCCCCTGCGTATTCTGTTTCTTATCCAGCAGCATGTTCTTCGCCTATTTGACTTCTTCTAGCACACCCTCATGTTTACCTTCATAATCACTATCAATAAATAACTCATCATCATCATCAGAACTGGCGCCAAACTCTATCCATAAACTATCTTTTTTGGTCTTCTTCGTAAGACATTTAACAATTTTAGTGAAACTCCTGATATATGCATGAAAATAATCAACAATATTTTGCAGAATATTATTTCAAATGAGAAATTCACCTTCAAACTTGATGACATAAATAGTTACATTAAAAGTGTTCCGGGGTATGTCATACCCTGACTGACTTCTAAGATGTCTCGCTCACAACTGAGACGTTGGAGAGAGATGAGAGTGTGTAGTATCTGGAAAAATATGTTTCAACTACTGCTACTAAGCACTAGAAGTCGGTATTTCAATTCGTTTTGATTTAAGAACTGTGACTTGCAGTTCTGGGGTATGTTATACCCCAGAACACTAACGAAGGGTTAATGTCATCCGGAGCTGAAAACTGCATGATGAATATAGTCTCAATTTGATAGTATCTCCCGGAGAGTAAGGCATTTTAAAGGTTGCTTCAAGACAATAAATACAAATTGAGACATACTAAGAGTAAATGGATAAGCCAAATGTTTGCCTCTTAATAACCCTCGAAGTTTCGAAGGAAATATTTTGACAGATCATAATGAACCCTTCAGATTCTGACTTCAGTGCACTCAACCTGAAAAAAATAAAAGTCAATTGCTTTGATAAGAAGACGTCTTCAATATTATTGATGTGAGTCTTCTGCTGCACAGATTCCAACATGGTCACAGAGGCATGACATTTTCAAGTTCATCTAAATAAAACGAAATTGTGGCCTTGTTCGGCTTTCGATGGTGCCACAGTTATCCTTTTGAGTTTTCCTCGGCGCAACAGATAGTGGTAATAGTAGATGCAGAAAAGAAGAGACACCGAGAGAAATCGATCTGGAATACAACTATTCTGAAAAAGATCTGCTCTGTTTAGTTTGTTCTGACTTATGATGAGGCGAAGTCCCTATAGTGGTATACAGCAAGACATCTCAGGTAGAATGTTGTATCAAAAGCTTTGCAGTAATCGTTTCAAGGAATGGAGCGACTCCTATCTGGGTTAATCTATGCTCATATAACCGTTCAAATACTGAAATACTGTGTGGAGAGTATTTGTGAATATAAAGTACCTGTGGACATTTCATAATACGAATCCGTGCATGTTATGGATGTGTAATCCTTTAAAATCAATGAATTTCCATTCGTGAAGCTTCTCAACAACAAAAATTAGGAATTGGCTGCTCTCTCCAGCCATGAGTTGAAAACTCTGGCCAGATAGTGTTGGAATAGTTTTTTTACCAAAATTTAGACTGAAGAAGTTCTTCGAGTGCAGGCAGCAGAAGTTCTCTACAGGAAACGTCCAACAGCGCTCGGTTGAATGGTTGCGGATGTTCATAAATGTTCTACCAGAAGGATTCCACCCGATTAGCGGTGATGTGGTTATTATCATCGTTGCGTCTGATTTATCGGCAGATACTTCGACAACTGTCATCACTTGAATTTGATACAAATTTGAGCATAACATGCTGGTAATTTAAATATATGGAAGAGGAAAGTTATGTAAGTTCCTAATTATGTAAGGTTTCGATGGTTCAGTGTGAAAAATACTTCTGCACTCTTACCAGATCCTTCGTGACCCCCTATTTGCGTGCATCTCGAGCAATTCTAGCCGTCGTATCTAAATAACCTCTTCTGTCGCCATATTATCCAATCGCAGTTCCTGATCCGACTCATAAATCCCGAATTATGCGATTGTTATAACGTTTCCTATTGTCTTTTTCATTCTTAAAAAGTTCGCTACCTCACGCAATCCAGGAAACGGTCTCCCATCTAATAAATAACTTGCACAATTTTAATGAATTCCGAATCCACACGCAACGAAACTATTCCAACCTTGGCCCATCCGGATGAGGCTTCGCGGACTGTCAACTATCTCCTGCCACGGAATTTCCGGTTCTGGAACTTTACGGGGATGAACTTTTCCATGGCATTTCGTTCATTGCAGTTGATGGTTGCTGGCTGATATGACGACGAAAGGAATTTCAAACAGGAATTTTAAACTTGATGATTATCGAGTTACTTCTAGGGTTGAAATATCCTGTTTCCACGTGCAAAACCTAAATAATAATAATA